CTCACTGTTTTAAGAACTGTCTGCGCATGAGACAACGCAGGCTACGAATGATACACCCAGTAATATCTATTCGAAAATGTATGCTGATGTCTTGCAAATGAAATGTGTACTGTAGTAATCAGTGTAGCGTGGATTGTTTCTTGAACAACCTTAGTCTATTGAACTAAGCTTTTTAACTTGTTTACGAGACGTTTCCTTTAGCCAGTGAACCAAACTTGTTTTAAAAGTTAGTTGCTAAAAATTTTCAGTGTTGAAAAATACTATTAGAAATATCGTGCGGATGTTTAGTAATTTAAATTCCTACGCTTAATACGTGCCTAGTTAGCGGTGTAGTGCTTGTTAACGTCAAAATAGGCCTTTCATTAAGCAGTCTACGACTGGATAATAGGACTGTAAATTGACGCTGAGATATCATCAGGTTTCTCACACAAACTTGGACACTGCACAGAAAAAACGGTGGTAGCATGTTTAAGAGAAACATACAATACAGGTAGTGCGATGAATGGTGGTGTGCGCCTGGTGACCATGAGATTACAATGGCTACAAAATTTCTGCAGAAAGATTGATGTGGTGCTTTCTCATCAGTGTGAACAAGGCTGTTAGTATAACAACAAAATTTGTAAATACACCAGGCAACAGTGACGGTAGTGTACTGCTTAGTGGCGTTGCAGCAAACGTAAAAATGGATGACTCACAACTCCGAGCATTCAGAGCGTTTTTGTAACTGTCGGCGAAGCAAAAAACAGCCCTTATTCTAGTTTCGTCACTTGTAAGTTCGTCACCTAAGTCACTTGAAAATTCGCATTTGTAAGGTCTCACTTGGTTGGAATCGGAAACTGACGAAGATGAAAAACGTAAACGAACTAACACGTTCAAATATGTGATTTCGATTTTCGTCAACGGAAAAACGAGACGTCAGTGCGCCATGTTTGGTTCAACGCCGGTACTGCTGCATGTGTAAAAATCTGCTCGTGCGTTTCATGCTGCAGGTGGTCGACCGTGGAATAATTACTGAAAGTTACCATGTCTAACATATATGAATATGAAGTATCGACTAATCTGATTGCATTTACCTTCAGGTGAATGGCGAAGATTCCTGTCAAAGGCCACGGAGAATGGGAACTCTGAACGTGGTTGAAGATGCAGAGAGGGACAAGTGTCAGTGACCTGCGAATCACACTTGCCGATGCAACGGAAGAGGCTGCGACTTTCAACCGGCTTGCAGCTGCATCAAATTAATGATACAGCGTAGGATGGGCAAAGCGGATCAGCCTTTGGTGTAGTACAGAGGTATGTGAAAATGTAAGCTGACAAAGTTTTGTTCAAACGACGAGGTAAGTATGATCTTTGATCTGTGCGTTGCCAAACACTGTCTGCAAAAATACAATTG